ACCACCCTCCGTGCGTCGGTAGCCCCCCGGGATCGTTAGACCGGTCGGCGCCGGACTGCGAATTTAACCACTCGTAACTCCCGAACCCCGGGGGCTATCGATGCGGGGGTGGTCTCATTCAAAAGAGGGCCTCGAGACATACACTCGATTCGTGTTCGAGAGGGTTCCTCAAGCTGAAGGGATCCCCCGAATTTGGTGCGGATTCGCCGCGCCTTTACGGAGATATGGCTGTTCAAAGTTTCAATGGTTTTCCATAGACTTATAAGATAAGCTTTAAAGCGTTTCGTCCAGGTCGCCAGTAGCAAACAATGGAACACACTCTGCTGGACAAACTAAGTAATTACACCATTTCAAGCATTTTATCTGTGTTATATGTTCTGTAAAAAAAAGTTCATATCAGCGGCATATTCGCGTATATCGGCGACAGGCTCATATCGGCCGATAATATCGGCTAAACGATATATAGGTCGGGCTCTACTTATTTCACACATTTTTACATATAGATTACCTTTGCCGTCACTTTAAAAACACTATTAAATGACTTTGCTAAATATGGTCTTTAGCCAATTTCAAAATGAATATCCATTTTTCTTGTTTTGCATTATAATGGTGTGATGCCTAATTGATTTCTATCATTGAGAAGATAAAATCTCATCGTCCAAAATCCTACTCTTCATAATTGAGAATCAACTATTCTCTAGTATTTTGCAGTGCATTTTCAAATGTTTTGAGTTTGTGTAGATTAATTCATTCGGGAAGTTGACCATAAAATGATTCACAAAAGTGCACACACACACCAAAGCATCTCTTCCTGTCATCTACTACCGTGTTGCTAGGGAATCTTTTCTGCACCACTGGAAAACAGTAAAACTAGCAGGCCGTGTTTCACCTCAGTGTGGAGAGCTGTCAGAGGTAAAGATCTAAACAGGCCTCGTGCAGTCACACGTTGTGTCTTCTGTCTCTCAGCTATTACAGTGGCATGGCATCAACATTGTTTTAATTGCAGCCAATCTGAGATGGAATACTGTACTTTACGCTCAATAAACAAACATCTGTCACTAATATAATTGCCCAATTTCCATTCAGGATCGTAATCGAATAAATGTTACATTTAATAAAGCTGTTGTTGAGTAAATTACTTGTCCTCGATCAATCAAACTACATTATCATTATGCTTTTATGTGACTTGTATGAGGGATGGGTAAAAATTTTGTTTTTTTCAATTAATTACTGTCTTCCTTATGATCGAACCAGAATATTCTTGAATATAAATGAACTAAATCTGTCCTCTGGTATTGAGTCTACAACAAATTGCTTTCAGTCATGGAATATTTTAATAAAATTCATTTGATATACAATTTTTTTAATTATACATATGCTACCATTTAAAAGTTTGGGGTTATCAAGTTTTTATTTTTTAAATTTTTTCTTCTTGCTTATGCTCACCAAGACTGCATATATTTGATCAAAAATACAGTAAAATTTTAATATTTTGAAATAATACTATGTTTTAAAATGTTTTAATTTATTCCTTTGATGAAAAGCTTGATTGATAACTATTACTTTAAGCAACATTTACAGTATAATAATGTTAGTACTGTTATTTAGTTACAGTATCCCACTGTAATATTGTGTATTTTTACTGTATTAAATCAGGATGGGTACCAAAACCCGGTATTTAATCGGTCCCGGGGCTAAATTATGAAAGACCGGAGTATCGATAAGCTCTGACGTTAACGGTTCTGCTATCGGTACTGGAAAAATTAATAAAACACACATACATTTATTATTGCTATATATACATTATCTTGCAAACTCTACCTCACCAGAGTCACCAGCTGTTTTTCAAACATTTGTCTATGATGCATTTTTGCTATTCGCAATTCAGAAGCGAGATCGCGTTCACGCGGAGGAGCTTCAGCACGCGCAACATGAAAGCCTTGTTTGATTATGATCGAAGCGAGAACTAAACATTCAAACATCTGCTTACACTTTAGCTGTTTTATTAACCTAATTAAATTTTTTTAATTTCGATTTTGGCTTCTAAGGATTATACAAAAGAAGACATGAGGTAAAGCTATTAAAAACTAGCTGCGTTTCGTATTGCGCAACTTCTTTCCCTTCACAGCGGTGCGCATTCGTTCCTCCCTAAAACCCAAACTTAACGTCAGAATCAGCTCAGTCGGTGATGGTTATAAAATGCCGCCTTGACTGTTGCTAAATTGCGGGACATGTTTGATAATAAAATGTTGAAAGCACAATCTGCACAAGAGACACTGTTCCTCAGGCTGACATGTGTCCAAACGATCAAATACACACAAAAATGTCAAAATGGCCGGCTTGGAGAGTATTTACTTAAACACAGTTTATGTCTTAAGTGGAGGAGAACAGTTGGGAGAAAATTCGATGTGTGTCAATATATTGTCTTAAAGTGACAGAATGGCGCTTGGGCCATCAAAATGCAAATCTGCTCTTAATCTGAATAACGTTATAGCTTTAATAAGCATTAATCTATCAATACATATACTGAAAACTATTCAGTGTTCATTTACATTTGATTACTTTTAGATTTCTTTTGTAGGCTATTACTTACCTGAACAGTAATGTTAGTAGAACTTCATGGAAGAATTAAAGCACTGTTTATTTCGTTTAATTTCATTTAATTTGTATATTTGTTTTATTGTATTTGTCAGTTTGTTTTACTTTGTTTCTTTGTTCATGTTCTTACTGTATCTTATCTTATGTATAAAACACAAAAAATGCCTGCACACTGGTGCATTTACAAATTGATGTTTTATATTCATTTCATTAACTATTTATTTTACATTTCAGAATATAAAGCAATGTTAATTCATCTCTTAATTTGTCATATATATATATATATATATATATTTATAAAAAACAAAAAGTACCAATAAGAATACCGTTAAAGTACCAAATCGATAAGCAGTATCGGTAAGAGTAGTAATACCGTTAAAACCTTAACGATACCCATCCCTAGTATTAAACTGTTTTCTCTATAGCAATTCATTGTGTTTATTCAAGAAATACTGTAATTACGTTTTTTCATACAGTGGATTGAATTTGTCATTTAATAAGGAAATGGAAAATAACACACTCCGAGTTTAAAAACATGCATTTTTTAAAGCAAAAGGCAGAAAATAGCCTTTTATGAACATGTAAGCTGGAATGGCAGCTGGAATTTTTTTTCTCTATATTCATGGTACTACTCAAGCCCAAAAAAAAAGCAGAAGAGAATATTGTGATTATATATAGACAGAATAGATGTTGTATATTTCATAAGTACTGCATTAAACCAGATGTCTATTTTAATCATTAATTCAAATCACAGAACTGACACCATATTAACTGCATTTTTGTGAACACAAGGACTATTAACATCTAAGCATGTGATTGCAGTAAGTTCATGTTTCCTGTTACACTTCAGAAAAAAAATGCATGTACATTTTATGATTTTATGAAATACTAATGTAAATACTGTATTACAAGTGAAAAAGGCTGAAAACGTATGTTGTATATTTAAGAACCAGAATCTAAAATTATATTGAGATATCTTTGGTAGGCCTACGTCTTGAATTACAGGCACATAAACTTAAATAGTGGATTACTCTGTAAATATTAATTCATGACATTTTATATTTTGGCTTTTGTTATTTATGTTTGTCTTTTTTCAGAAACAAAAAAAAAATAGCTGGTGAAGTTTCTGAAATTTGGTTGATTTTGATTTATTTGAAATTAAAATATTTTGTAACACAAATGTTTTTACTGTCAATTAGCTATTCAACTAGCAAAAGCTATTAATATAGCTATTGAATTGCATAGTTTGGGCGCAGTTGAATTTGGTATTTTTTTTAATGTAACGAGTCAGAAGGCTCCGTGTATAATTTGCAGCATTAGCTGAGAGAATATGAATTCATATGCAAGCATATATTCCTGTATCAATACCAGGTCCTAACTTATATGGGCAAATTGTGGCTTTTGTTAAGTGAAATAGACTACATGTGTAGTATGGTATTTCGAGGAAGAAGGACAGACTTTGAGAGCTTTCAGTGGAGAGTGAGGGGTTAAATGTTCTTGTTATTGCAGTCCAAACCAGGAACAACACAAGACAGCCGATCCTCCTATGGCACACTGCTTACTGACTGATAACAGCTTCTAATGTCATGCATCATCTGTGCTGGAAACTCATCGTTTAGTTCTGTGTAGAGGATGACTGTGTGTGTGTGTGTGTGTGTGTGTGTGTGGGAGAGAGAGAGAGAATGCTGATTAGGTTGCATAAAACCAAAATTCAGATTAGGAACTGTTAAAGCCTCATGACCTAATTAGTGCAACACAACTTTTCTCCTGATTAGTTAGTGATTTTGCATAATTTTCTGGTTTGATTTGTGTTCGCTGTCTGTTGAGGAGAAAATAAAGGAGAAAGCAGTGAAAACATGCCGTATGCCCAAATGAAAATGCTTGACCAAAGTATTGGCCTCGTGTTAGACCATGTGTTCATGCATTACTGCAGTTCAAAGGACTACTTTTGACAACATAACTAACTTGCTCAACAAGATCTCACCAAACTGTTGCTCTGCAGTTTGATGCCTGATATACCGGTACGTAGTTTGATGCCCCTTGTGGCCGTGCTGACATGGCATTTTGAAATGTGCATGAAATTGAAGTTTCACACACATGTATAGAATGTTTGGTCTCAAACAATTTTTGAACATATGCTCCAAGAAACATGGCCTAAATCAAAACTTTTTTGTTTACTTGATTTATTCTGTTCCTTAGTTAAATTGTTAAAAGAATTGGTATGGAGACAGTATAGCCTAATTCTGTGCATTGTACAGCATAGACCGAGTTTGTTTGTGGTTTATAAGTGGCTTTATTTATTTATTTACCAATATAGCTTTTAGTATCGCATGTTCCTACTATGCCGCATATCGCAATTGTACAACTTCAGTGATTCCCATCTCTGATCTGTTTGTCCACAGGCTTTGGATCAGGACAGAACTTCATTGCAGAAGGTCAAGAAGTCAGTCAAAGCCATTTATAACTCTGGTCAAGGTATGTTCACAACCACGCACACACAAATGCTGGTTTTGTTAAGGCTGTAATACAAACAAACACACTTATTAAATTCATAATCACTAATATTAAATAGGCATTGCCTTTTATATGGCGGTGTGCAGTATTTTTAGTGATTGCAGATGAATTTTCTTGCAATATTGTTAAAACAAATGGCTAGATTACATTTAGCTTGAACATGTTTCTGGTTGACGCCACACCAGCTAGTTTCGTCCACCCCCACAAACACCCACCTACCTAATCTCTTTCACATTGTATAGATGCATTCTGTGCTCAGATGTATGTGTTTTTTTCCATATATCGTTCTATTGAAATGAAACCAAGCAGGATGCATTTTTATCTTACAGATACATACCGAAATGTATGTTGTAATTTTTTTAAGGGGGGGAAATATATTTTTTCTGTTAATTGGCTAAATATGCACAGTTATTGATTGTACCTATTAAAATAAATAAAAATAAAAAACAATAGAACAATAAAACTGGCCCAATATATGCATGTATATTTGTTTATTCTTTTACGGTGTTACAGGTTTTTTTTTTTTTTTTAATTAAAAAAAATTTTTTTTTTATAAATGCTGTTACTTTTAACTTTTTATTCTTCAAGGAATCCAGTAAAAATGGACCATTGTTTCCACAAAAATATTAAGCAGAAACACATTTTATTTAACATCAATAATAAGAAATGTTTCTTGAGCACCAAATCAGCATATTAGAATGATTTCTGAAGGACCATGTGACACTGAAGACTGGAGTAAAGGCTGCTGAAAATTCAGCTTTGATTACAGGAATAAATTACATTTTAAAATACATTATGATAGAAAACAGTTATTATATTATCAAATAGTGCTGGGCGGTATGACCAAAAATGTATATCACGGTATTTTTCAAAATTATACCGGTTTCACGGTACATGACGGTATTTTTTTTTTCATGCATGACCGGGTGTTAACCATATTTTCTACTGATTGAGAGAGGAAATACTGCAGTATATTGACTTAGAATGTCCTATTTTACTGTCATGATGAGTGAATATTGTCAAAAAATACCACACTAAATAGTGACTAAACACGACCCCTTTTAATACATGTTAACCAGGAGTTACTCTCATTTGTAATCGCGGCATCGTCTGATAAAATCAACATGCATCTACACTAAAGAGCGGCTATGCGGTTGTTTTGGCTATATTACTTTTTTGTCTCATGCCACGCACTGCCTGCGTCTGAGTAACAAACTAAAAAAATAAAGTGTATGTGATATTAACAGACGAACTAAAGGGTCTGAAAGTTGCTAAATCTAGTGCTAAAGTCGCACTCGT